ATTTTGTCACCTTTGGACAGAGCCGTGATAACAGTTTCTCTCTGTTTCCGGTCTTTGTGCTAGAGCTAGCCGACTGCTAGCGCTTCCATCTTCTTATTTCACGCATCGCCTGAAAGCGAACAAGCGCACTTCCCAAACCGTCAAACCTTTGCTTCAAACAAAAGTTTCTGACTGGTAACAGATTAAGGCTGAGCAAACATACTACACCTCCTTTCTCCCATTTCCCCAATGTTTGAATTTCCTTTCCATATTCCAGTCTCATTAAATGATCACATGCAGACTGCATTTCTTCAACATCTAAAAAGCTGTGATTTCATTTATATTGCAAAGGATTCCCCCTCCCCCCCACAGCTCAGGTAGTGGTCTGGTTAGGTGATATGCCGAGCAGTTGCTGTGAGGATATTTGGGAGGAACTGAGGACTGAAGTGTCTGTACGGTGGAGGATGTTCACAGGTTTAATGGAAGCAGGGGTGGATCATTTCCTCTTCTCAACTCTTTGATTTTGCAAAAAAAAAAAAAAAAAATCAGACAAACCTCCTCAATCTACATTCGTCTCCACATGAAAAGCACGTAACATTGTCCTCCACGAAAGATCCCACGGTAGACCAAAAAATGGTTTCAACATCAAAAAAAAAAAAGAAAAAAAAAGGCAAATTGGATGGAGCCCTGCCCCCTAGTGGTCAATTCATGTCAATCCGCAGAAATGAAACCTAATTTATGTTAACGTATGTATGAGATTTCGACAAAAAAAAAAAAAAATAAAAAAGGAAAAAAGATGATCTGTACAGAGACCACAGTAATTATTTGCTTCAGAGCAGGTCGTATCTTCAGCTTCTTTTGTATAAAAATATATATACCACAGTGATGGCCTTTTGAGGACTCGTACTTGCAGAGGTTTGCCGCCGTCTCACTTGGATCCACTACATTCAGTGGTTTTCCCCGTTTAATCAAGGCTATGAAGATCTCTACTATAAATAGTCCCAACAGGTATCAACAGATCAGTGTCCTCTGTGTATAAAAATATGAGTCAACATAAATCTCTGTTCGTCTCTCCTTCTCGTGTCCCCAAGCCTTTAGAGGTCAGTTGAGTCTATGCTTGTACATCTCTTATGATTATCAAATCCACAGTGTTTGGAAACGTCTTCAAGAGGGCCACTGCATTCCCATGATCGATATTCACAAAGCTGTATCCATTTGCCTGTGAGAAAAGACAGAATCATTGGTTAGTTAAAATACTAGTAGGCCTTTAACTAGTCACAACGGATCTTTGTGATCATTTATATAGACAGCAGAATACCTGGATAATTTTATCTCCGGGCTGAAGAACCTTGCATGCCGGTCCCTCAGGTTGAACCCTTGTCACAAATATACCCTGAAATGACATGATGCTATATTAATTACATATATTAAAAGCAGCTAGGTTGTACTGAATGTTTTCCTAAATAGATGTACAGCACAACTCAGGAAAACCAATCAATTTCTGTGAAAATAATACAATATGAATGGAATATAAAAGAGGTCCTTTAAGTGTGGTATTAAAAAATTTACATTGTCATCTGGTCGAAAGGGATTTCCCCGGCCTCCCACTCCTCCTGATATACTGAAACCCAGCTCTGGATTCTTCTCCACTTTCACACGGATCTGAAACACACCCACATACTTTCATCAGACATTTATGCGCAGTCATTCACTGTTAATTACACAATATTCCCTGCATTATATATATAACAAAACCACAGCAGACCTTTAGGGAACTGGTTTCTACCCAAATATGACACAAAATTCTGGTGAAAGAGCACAAATTTCAGGTTTTCACAACTCTAAGTTTCAAAGACTTCCCTTGAAAGATTCGACTGAAAAACTGATTGACTGTCCATTAAGTATGAAGCTACAGTCAGCTTTAGGGTTTTTCACCCTGTTCCAGTCCGTATGTTAAGCTCAGCTAACTAGCTGCTGTCTGTAGCTTGAAATTTAACAGAGAGTATAATACTCTCTTATTTGCATCTTCTCATTTAACTCTCGTTACAACAGCGTATTTCCCAAAATGTTAAACAATTCCTTTGATCAAAGTTTAGCCGAGAAAATCCTCAAAATCAACTTCCATTTCTAGCAGGTCTGTATTTCTTCAAGTAATTTCACACAAACACCGTCCTTCACCTCATGCTGCAGTGCGTCTTGGGGCATGCGTGGGGGCCCCTGGGGCTGATGGGAGACTTTGAGCATCAGGTAGTCAATGAGCTGCTCTCTGGAAGGGTGGCGGGCCATTGGCGCCTGGCTCATCTGGGGACGACCAGTGGTGCCCATCTGACCGTTCATCAAAGGCACCTAGGGAACAAAACCACGATGATAAACAGTACTGCATCAACATTATGAGCTCTTCAAAGCAGATAAAATGCATCTGCAGAGGTCGCAGATCTAAATCATTTCCTGGCTAATTCGAAAAACGTTTGACACATTTGTGCTCTGCAGCTAAACGTCTGCATGTATTCAACCTACTTTTCTGTGGGGGTCCATGGTGTAGCTCTGCTGCCCTTGGGGACTAAACACATCATCCTGGAAGGACAGAAAGTGATGATTATTAACACTGTGCCCAAACCTCACTCCACTGAAACTCATTTACAACAAAGGATAATGGACAAGACAGACAATTAGATACTGCCATGAACATTTGTCAAGGGTGGTAATGACATTAGGCATTAATGTGTTGCTTTAGAAGAAAGGAAGGGATCTGATTAAAATGAAAAAGATTAAACTGTGCTTAGTTTCTATTCAGACACTAAGCAGCATGTAATTCTGAATATTAGCTTTCTGGAGATAAAGTGAATCTTAAATGTTAAGTAGGGAACAGGTTACCCAACACTCTCAGACATCTGTAGATAGTGCAGAAGACTTTTTCTCCCCCTCTTCTACACATTCTAAACCCCACTCTCTAAAATCACTTAGACGCAAACTTCTCCCACTTACCTTTTGCAAACATAGTTTTCATCCCCACACACAAAAGTGACAGGTTGTGAAGTGATTCTGAAGTGAACGGAGGGTGAAGTAGAGATGATAAATGAGCAAAATAAAGATTTAAAGTGCAGTTAAAGGAAAAGAAAATGATGGTTGCTGAGATGAATTACAATCACAGGATGCGAGTATTGCAGAGTGAAGGGATAACACACACTGGGATAATGATTATGATGTTAAAAGACCCTGGTGTGTTTAAATGGGTTTTTTTTTGTACCATGCATGAGACTTATATATTATATATCTGATTATTAACTTTAACACAAATGAAGGTAGGCTTTCTTCGTGAAGAGACTGGCCTGAAAAAGCTTATTTTCCTCAAACAAGCCTGTCACAGCGCAGGGTGCCAGCTGGATTCAGAGAAAATACAGACCTGCTGTGAACGTGTCTCTAGAAATACAAGCCTCCCATTGCTCAATAACACATATTTCTTGCTCATTACTTGAATCAGGTATAGTGGATAAAATTAATTAAGCTACACAGCCTGCATGTTTTGTGAAGAAGTTGTTCAGCAGATTTATTGCTTAAATTAGATAAAAGTCAGTCAGATTTCAGTTCTGTATTTCTCTGATTCGGTCCTGGACGTCGTAAAGCCACTAAACCAAATGAATGATGGTACAAAAAAATGAGTAGTCCCCTTTTAAACAAGTCAAATTGCATTAAACTAAGGGGAGCTGCACAAAAAAAAAAAAAAACATAGAATCCATCAATTTCTCACTCTACGAAGACATCATATGTACTAGACAGGGATTGTGGTCGTGAGAAATCAGACGTTAGGAGAGACATACTTTCACTTGCCTATAAAAGGACAAGTGAAAGATGGCTGTGGGTCAGTGATCACTTCTCAACGTCGAGGAGAGAAGGAAACAGACATTTCTTATCTTCTATGGGATGTGAAACTAGCAGGAACTGGAAGCCCTGGCTTAGTAATGAGCAGCAGGAGCTAGCTTCAAGTTCACAGTACTCACACAGAAGCCCAGAGCGCCGTAGGGCTGTCCGTCCCTGGCACTAAAGACCAGAGACCCTTGGCTGGCATGCATATCCCTACAGCTGCCGTAGTGAGACCAGCTCAGCGGAGCGTTATTGGAATTATAGGAGCGAGACAGCGCATTCTGAACAGAGGGACGACATGGAACAACCAGCACCAACAGACACGTCAGCGGTGGCCATGCAATCCACCAAATGAGTGTTGACATAAAAAAAGACAACATTTACAGCATATACAGACAAACATGCAGGGAATCAGAAATATTTGGCATACAGCTGGGTTAGTAGGCTCTGGTAAACTTCCAACTCCATATTAAAAAGGCAGATTCACCCAAATATCTGTAATAGTATGTTAACATACAGTTTCATTTGCAGAGGTTTTGAGAGACCCCAGTATGGGGATGGGTTCTGATAGCTGGTTCCACTTGGCTGCTGAGCTATACCAGTCCTTGTATTTTGCAAAATGAATCTCTTATCAAATCTTTGATTTAAGAGTCCCCTAGATAACCTGCCTCTTTCTGACGCAAATAAAGAAGCTGGTGACAGAAAAACACCAGCTCACTCAGCGACATTATGGTTAATTAGATTAATGGACTGAACACGGTTGGACCACCTTTACTTTCAAAAGTGTGGATACACTTCACAAAGTCACCAAAGTTGTGAGAGGATACTCACAACAGATTAAATATGTATCTACCATCCATCATGTTGAACGAACTAACTTGTGGCATTTTTGATATCTTAAGAATGTTAAGTGCTCCACTATAGCCGGTCACACTGTATTCTGTGACCTGGAGCAGAGCAGTAACAGTTCACCTTCAGGTAATGTTAATTGCATTGTACATGTAGTTGTTTAGTTTTTCTGAATCACAAGGTAGAATTAATATTTCCACTGTGTTGTTTTTACTGTACTGTCTGTGGTTCCTGCAGCTGTAGCACAGCCCCGCAGAGAAATGAGTCAGGACAGATTAATGAATGTCACAGTGCAGTGACAACATATGTGGTCATAGCCCTGCACACTCTCAGCACAGTGGAATATCAGTGGTTTTAGGTATGATACCTAGTTAGAAAATACTTATTGTATATTTCACCAAGATATCTTCATTCCCCACCGAACAAACTACCTAAAAAGATTTGAGAAGGGATTTGATGGACAGATTTCAAAGTGGATTCAGATTTGATGCCCTTGATGTAATGATGTATAGTAATATGTATGATATGAAATGCCATCAAACCCTACTCCTAACCCCTACAAAACGAAGGTGAATGAAATGCGTTTGTGGTGCTCACAGCACTGAAACAATTACATTTAAAAATTAAACTGCATCATCTCTTCCAAGAAACACGTCCATGTTACTCTGGATAATTCACAGTGCCGACAGTCTGCGGATTATTCGGATTAACAGAGACACTGTTTCTGGAAAGACGCATTGCAGGTTAATATTTTTACATGCAATTTTCTAATGCTTTTTTAAGTCGCACAAACAATATTACTTTCACCTGCACTGTATTAGGGCGGCATCAGAAATCTCAGAGGCAGATACCATATAGCAAAAAATAACTGAACAATCTGTAAGGCTATGGGGAACAGAGAAGTTATGTCTTTTTGTAGTTTGGTTGAAACAAAAAGCTGGGCTTTCCAAATATTATCTTACACACATGTTGTTGTCATGGTCTTAAAGCAATATCCTTGTTGTGCTTCTCTGTAAGGATGAGCGTATTCATACAGTTGGCCTCGTAAGTGTGATCTACACATCATATCTTAGGCACCACAAAAACAATCTTAAGATCAATTACACCCTGAAACTGAAATGACGAGGACAACAAAAAACAGGTAGTTCATTACTTTTTACCTTTTCCATTTTCTTGGCCTCGATGTGCCGCATCACCTGGTCTCTCCAGTCAACTGGCACCCTTCCAGCGCCAACTCCTCCTGACACCTGTACAGGCCCATCCAGCAGCGAGTGCTCGGACTTCACCCTGGTGTTGGGCCTCTTGCTGGGGCTGCTGTGCTGGTAGTTGAAATCGCTAACAGACATGGTCCTCTCTGGAAGCTCGTGGGGCTGCGGCCTGGCGCCGAGAGGCCTGGAAGCTCCGGGTACATCGATGCTGTAAGTGCGAGCTGAGAGGGGCCTCTGCATGGCCTGACTCATTGCCAGTGGCCCCCTGGCTAGGGTGTGAATGTCCCTGTACGTCATGTATTCCCCATCAGGTACCTGCATGCGCCTCGGGTCGCCCATGGAGGCTGTGGAAGCAGTGCTGCTTTGCCTCTGCAGAGTGCTGCTTCTAGACTGGCCTCCTGTAGAATGAAGTCTCTCCTTAGTCCACATGTCCCCAGAAGGTTTGGGACCCATTGGAGGCCCCCTCTGCTGGGGCTGTAGAGGGTAAGGAGGTGCCTGATTACGGTTGGAGTAGTTGGTGTTGGCTAGTGAGTGTGGAGGAGGAGGGAGGTAGCCTTGGTGCTCTGGGGGCATGGGCGCCCTCTGGGCCCAGAGGCCCTCTTTAGGCATGGCACTGCTTGTGTACTGTATGTTGTACTGAGGAGGAGGGATGCCCATGGCCATGCTGGAGGACACTGGATATCTGCTGGTGCTGGCAGGGGGCTTAGAGGAAGAGAGAAGGTCTGATGAAGATGCAGAAGAGCCAGGGTAGATCTGGAGAGTCTGGTCATTCAGTAACTGACTAGCTGACTTGCTCCTGACTATGCTCTGGCCCTGAGCCCCTGGCCCAGGGCCGGCTCCAGCCATTCTAGTCATTCCTGTTGTGTCATAGGAGTCACTATCCCCATCAAAGGAGTATATCTTCAAGCCTCCTGTTTCTATGTTGCTGACGCTGTGAGACTTCATCACCTGCGGGGGATGGCACCTTTTCTCTGGAGACAGTTCCTCTGTGCTGCGAGACAGAGACATGTCACTGCTGGCTGTCACGCCTGTCGAGGCCACATGCACCGCAGATGTCTCTACTCTCATCCCTTGGCTTTTGTTACCCAGACTATTGATGCAGTCACTGACCTGCTGGTTTCCATTCAGAAAATGCTCCATGTTGTCATTGCTAAAACCCTGCTTGCTGTCCAAGTCCTCCCGGGTTACTGAGCCATTCTTGGTTTTGTCCACCTCGTCCATCTGAACCATGTTGTCGGTTGGCAACTTGGACACGTTCATATTAATCTGGTCCCACTTGGTGTAAGTTTCTCCCATGCCATTGTTAATTCCCTTCTCAATGAAGGCCAGTCTGGCTTCCATGGAAAGGTCGTAGTCTCCCATTTTCTCCGGTGGGGTCTGTTGGGTTTTCAAAAGGGCCTGAAGGGATGTTTCAGATCCATTACCATTATGGAGGAGGGGAGTGGTGTCTTTAGGCTGGTTCATGTTCTCATCTTGCCTACAACATAGAACAAGAGACACATCAGATTCTGTAATAACGGCAGGAGCCAGACGCTCCTTTTTACTCCACATTAAGAGGCTGCAGAATGGCACTAACCGGCTTTTTGGTAAAAATGGCATCTTTGCCTCTCTCTCAGGGGTGCACAGAGAGTTGTCCTGACTGCTGTCTGTGGTCAGAGACACGGAGTCAGACATGCGTGATGGAGACGAACAGTTACTGTTGTTCTGGTTGCTGTTGGCCACTGTCTCATCCAGCAAAGAGTCTGCGTCATCTGTTAATTTAGAAATATGTCATTTGTCAACTTTAAATTTCCATTAAAAATAGTATCTTTTAAAAATCACTCAACAAAACCTTTACCTTTTTTGTCCTTACTTAAAGTCACTACTTTAGGCTGGTTGATGGAGATCTCAATAAGAGGTGGTCTCATCTCTGCAATTTTCATCTCCTCCTCTTCATCAGACAGCTCTTCAGAATCCTAAAGACAAACAATCATTTTCTTAAAGTTGCATTTGAAACTTCCTAAATCACTTGCTGTATTTCTTGTTTGTTAAATAGTGAAATAAATTAGAGTGCTAAATGTTAGTAGTACCTCCAGTGTGTCTTCGTGGTTCATCATGGAGCCCCCTGAAGATTTGAGAGGGACTTTCTGAGAGCTGTAAGACTCTGAAGTGTCTTTTGATTCTGATGCAGAGAGGTTTTGGGCATGTGTGTTGTTAGAGACTTGGGGCTCCATGTCTGATGCCATGCCGTTAGGACAGGGTGCCTCTATCACCTGACAAAAACAGCACGGATGGTCAATTATTTACTAAAAATGCTCCTTCACTTGCATATAGAATATGCAATTTGTTAAAGGAGAACTAAATCGAGGCAAAATAGGCAAGAAATGAAAGTGAAAGATTGTTTAAAATATCTAATTTAGCTGAAACTGACCTTTACTCCCACATCCTGCACTCCAATATGGTTCCTCTCCACTGGTTTTGCATCTTTTCCTGACTCGTCACCCGACTCGTCCTCCTTCAGCCTGTGGGCCACCGACTGGGCTGTCTTCACCATGTTCTTCAGCTCGTCTGGGTATGGTGTAGGGTAGCGCTTCAGGTTTCCCTCCTGGAGGAGTACAAATACCCACAAACTTACCATTAACATTATGTAGTTTGCAGTTTTGACAGAAATGGGATAGTAGGATTAACGTCAGTGCTGAATAGCAATTACATGAAGAGCGAGGTCCATTCAATATATAGACACATTTACCATCTATACAAAGGTCACCCCTGGTCAATTGTTTTAGAAAATGGGACAAGGCACATCTTACATGAAACAAAGTGAAGCTTGTTGCAAAAAATAATACGGTGTGTGATTACAACAATGTCCTTGCAGTTTGGTAAACTATGTTACCACAGTCATTTTTCCTTTTCCCAATTATGTGGACAACTGTTTTGACACTAACCCTCGGGGGTGTTTCTCTCTCATCCTTGTCCTCGTCACACTCGAAGGCCACCTGAGCTCGGTGCTTGCGTTGTTCCTCCCAGAGAGCTGGATTAAAGCTCTCAGAGTCAGAGTTGGGGATGTCTGAAATAAAAGCAGAAACCAGGAGGAGGATCATTTGTTAATTTGTTTTTAATTAAGGCTTTAGAAGTCTCCCCCACTGTGTTTAATTCATGCAGGTCTGACTTTGACCACAAGATGGCGTAAAGACAACATGAGGCATGCCTATAAACTGGAGGTGCTGCAGAGGAGCTTGAAATTCAGGAGTTAACTCCTTAAACTCAAGTTGAACCACCTGAACCATACAACAATGAAATACTAACACTTGGAATTGTAGTTCTCATAAATTGCAACAGCAAAAAATAAGTACTTTGAAAAGACTTGACCCTGTGCTTCACTCTGATTCCAGTCTATTTTAAAGTTTAACACAAAAAGCAAAAATATTAAAACTAACATTCTTGCAGGATTTGCCATGACTAAGCATTCAATTCAATTTTACTCCTTTGCCATACACCTGTCTGATTACTACATGTTAGAAAGGGAGAAGCAAGGCCATGATTACTATGACAATCATGTCACAGAAGTGGTGATTGTGGTTGTGATGACGTTACTTTCCTGAAACTCTGCATTAGCATCTGCTCTCCATTGTGTCACTCAGACTGACACTGACAGTCAGGTTATTCTAGCTTCTCAGGAAACATGACAAAACAGTAAATATGAGAAATGTCAAAGCAGATGACTGGGAGATAAACAGTGGACAGAGCCCACGTACAGTAACCTGTATGGGTGCATTTTCTGGTGGTGCGATGTGGTTATAGACCTAAGAATCGGTTGGCTTATTAAATCGGGCTGATTATCTGGTATTTTGAGATAATCTGCATTGGCTGATGTTTTTTTGATGTTGAATTTTATAAAAATTCCATGCAAAACAACACTTTTCTGGCTAAGACAACCTGTGGACATGTTGGATTGTAATGTGTATGGAATAATGGAATTATACATGATTTGTCTTTTGATATCGGCATTGGCCATTGAAAAAAACTATATTGGAAAAAAAAGGCAATTCATCGCTGACATCGTCACGAATATCAAGCTACTCATTACTATTGCAGTAGTTCAAGCATGTAGATCTCAAACCACTAATTACTCTAGAGCTAAGACGAAACAGGGTCAGTGCAAGCTGTCTGGTGTAATAGGAAACCAAACCAAACTAACAGATGCTTAACAAGAAGAAGACTACTTGTGTTTCGTCTGCAGCTCTGGTCTCAGGTCCCTCATAAAATATGAATACAGTAATCCTTGCAGGTCACGTATAGGACTGCTGCTATAAAGATGGTAGCAGTAGTCATGGCAGTGCAAGAGAATCTGACATAAAATGCATTTACTTTAACTGAAAATGAGTCCGTTAGGTTCTCATTTACAAAACCACTTTTTTGTTTCTTACTGTGTATGGACCATCAACTTCCATAAACTCTTAATGTTTTATTTTGATAAATGATCATATTAGTCATACAAGTAAAGCTGTTTGAATTGTACGATTGCCTGGTAGTACTGATTGATTAACAAGCTTGAATCTTTAATATCCAGCCCTGCTGTGATGAACTGATTGGTGAAAACAGGTCAGAAACATTTGCAGTTTGAGGGTCAGCCAGATCAACCATGAAAGAATATAAAAGAGAAATTTAGTCTTGATGAATGCACAGTACTCACAGTCCTCAGTCCTGATTTGCTGGGGGAACATGTAGTTGGTGAGCACGGTTTTGTGTGTCTCTGGATCCTCCTCTTTCTGGAGAGGGATCAGGGGCTTTGACTGTGGGAGACAGAAAGTAGGTTTGAGTGTGCTATCTGCAATCAAAGGTGCTTTGTCAAAATTAATGTGGTTCCCCCCAATTTCCCACAGTCCTTTCCAGCTGAGTTTGTCCCTCTAGTCTTCTCCAAACCACCCACTGGCTTTGCTTTGACTGAGACACTACTTAGGCACATCTGGGTGCCACTTTCTGTCAATCATTCCTTTATGGAAGTGGTTTAACCTCCATCAATGTCCCTTAGGCCTCATCATCATTGTCACACCTGCCAAACAGTATCCCTGTGTTTCAGTACTGTGGCTTCTGTTGGACTGCCTCTCCTGGGTTTCATTTCTGCCCCTCTTAACACAACAAGAGCCGCACTCCTGATTATAAGCAAGTCAAGTTCATTTATATACAGTACATAGCACCTTATTGTGTCACAAAGTGCTTTACAAGTCAATAAAAGCAAGGACAACTAAAATTCTGAAAATCATCAATAAAAGGCCTGTTTGCACAAACATAATTTCTGACATGATATGAAAAAACTCTATAGGAAGGCTGTTCCTTTAAGAGCCTCGGAGCTAAAGCTTGGTCTTGAACCAAGGGACAGCAATCGAGCCCTGATCATATGACCTTGGAGTCTGTCTGTACAGTTTCCTGTTAGGAGCCCGAACAATAAATCAGTCAGGCTGAGCAGTGTGTATGTCAGAAATACAAGAGATGTCACCATTCTATAGTTTGTCCATCAGAGAGTTCATTTCTTTACTGTAAAATGTCCTGCCAAGTACATTTCTTGTTCACAATTATTCAAGAAACACATTTAAGGGAACCTTTCCAAAAATACATATTTATCTTATGGGTGGTGTGAATTATCAGTATTGCCTCCAAAATCCTCCAATACTGGACTATAGCAAAGAATTCACAAAGGTGAGCAAGAGAGTGATTGTGAAGAAAGGTGTAAATGATAACTAATTTCTTAAAATATTATTCAGTATTCAATAGGCAGCTAGACAGGGGGAGACATGGGTACCTTTAGGACAGGGCTGGTTCTTCTGTAGCATTCTGAAATGGCTGCAGTTTTCCATGCATTTGAAATAACAATAGTCCAGCCAGGATGAGAAAAAGGCATGAATAATTGATTTTGAAATGTGGTGAGAGTCAACAAATCTGTTGAGAAATACTTATAAGCAGGAAAAAGCTAAACACGCTGACCCAGCGTACACCTGCAGTGTAGTTTCCAACCTTAAACATTAAAACTCCTTGGGAAAGCTTAATACGAGTGGTTTGAGAATTCCTTTCCCATGCAAAGCTACTCTGCAATGACAAAGTGGGACTGCAAGCCACTTCCTGACACATGAGCTGAACAGACTCAAACGTTTCCACCTCTGATAGGCTTATCTTGTGTTCTGTCAAGGGCCACATTAGCTAAGGCAGCAGTCCAAATTTCTAGCGCCACAACTTGCTTGGTAACCTTGATCTCTCTACATGTGCTTTACTTCCGGCTGGTTGCTGCTGCCTTTTCTCACTCAGATTTCTGTCATATCATGTTGCAGAGGTTTTGACAGGCTCTTCTAGATTACCACACTGTCGCCCTTAAACAAGTATTTAGGTAAGGATAACATTTTTTGACATTCATTAGGATCCTTCTACACTTTAAAAATGTAGAGTTTTGTGTATCGCCGAGTCTGACCTGCATTGCCATTTGGCACGTTTAGATCAAATGTCCTGGAAGTGGTTTACTGAATTTTGAATGCGTTTTCCTGTGCGCTACCTGACCTAGCTGGATTAATTTACAGCTGAATGTTGTCACGTACCCTGCTGCCATGACAGTCTCTATAGAACACATCACCCTCTGACAGCTCTGAACTCAGTAGTACCTTTTGTGAAACACTTATACTTGTGATTTATACGTAATACATGCAATCTCACCTGATTTTCAGACAGCCACATTGCAGTCATCTGGTTCAGTTTAGTGAAACTGTAGGGAAGATTCTTTAACCTGCAGTGGAACAAAAACAACACAGGTACTCAGTCAGCTTGAACCAACAACCTAAAAAAACTGATGTATCTGCAAAACAGTCTAAAAAATAAAAATCCGTCGTGTAAGGTAAATTTAATGTACAAGGGCCCAATATAAAGTTAGGCTGAAGCACTATTTCATTATTTCTCTAATAAAATGTCAGCGCTGTGGGGTCGTAGCCAAAGTTATTCACTGTATTTGGCACAGAGCAGACACCAGGAATGAAAGCTGTGATTAGAACCTCAATCAGGCCGTAGCTTCCAAACCAAACCATTTTCATTCTGGGCAGAATTAAGACCCTTCGATCACGATGTAATTATCAGGTTATGTTTCAGACTGCGTGTGTGCACGTGCTCTTTTTTCATTTGTTTTCACAGTTATGCAGTTCATAATGAAATACTAGATTGACGCAAGGCAGCAGGAATGCCTTTAAAATAACGACGGCTGCAACTAACAATTATTTCTATCAGTTAATCTGTTCATGAATCAGTTCATTTCTAAAATTAAAATGGTGAAATGCTTTAAATGCGTTGTTTGTCTGACTAACTCAAACATTTACAATATATTAAAAACGCAGCACTTTTAAAATTACTTCAGACATCAATAATCCAAAATAAACAGAAAAAAAAACCAAAATAACGTTTCTTCTTAAACTTGACCTCAATATGTCACTGTCAGTTCAAACTCACTTGTTGTTGCTGAGATTTATGACCTTGAGCTTCTGCATGTCACCCATCTCCTCAGGCAAAGACTCCAACTTGTTGGAATGTAGGAAGAGCACAGTTGCGTTCTTCCAGTTGCCCATCTGTGAGGGGAGAGAAAGCAAGGACAGAGAGCCGTGAGCCAACGATGCTAGCTGTTACAGATGAGCAGACTGACATGTCACACCATTTAACACATCTCCACAAACACACATATTCACTCTAATGTGCATACTCACCTCAGGGGGAAGCTGGCTAAGGAAGTTATGATCTGCAGCAAACGTACGGATGCTGACACACTGGCCGACGGACGACGGCAAGGCTTCGATCTCATTGAAACTGCAGTCCAGCTCATCCAGAGATGTCAGCCTGATTCAAAGAGAATAAGGAAGACAAAGATAGGAGGAATTTAATCATGTGATCTAATTATTATATATACAGTACATAGTATGTGAAAAACATTTAGGGGTAAAGGGTTAAAGGCATACTCCAGTGATTTATTAGTTTCCATAAAGTTGGGAGAATTTGTTAAAAGACAGATTACCTTTAATCTCCTTGGGACCTTAAATCCCTGATATGGGTCAAGTGCCGAAAATCCTACAGTTCCCATAACGCAGCTAATGGTATGTTATTATTAGAAGCTCCTTATCTTTCAAACCCCACATCCACAGTTTGTAGCACAGGTTTTCTGTTATAAATATGTTGTCTCCAAGTCCAAGCCAAGATAACTAATCATATTTTATCAAACTGTGGAAAGCTCCCTCCCGAGCCACAAAATAAATTATACAACTGTTTTCACAGGCTGAATAGTACTTTTTATGACAAGTAAAAATAGGTGAAGTGATGCTTTAATTCTGCTACATCAGACTACACGTCAAAGATTTAAAATGCAAGAGTGGCAAAATAAGGACTAAATCTTCCTGTCTGTCAAACCAGGTCAATCAACCAACCTACTTTTATGTTTATTACAGCAAGAGACTGAAGCTTCCGAATTTCTATGTAATAGGACTGTAACAGGGCTGGACCCCCCTTCAAAAGATACAAAGACAAGAAATGGCTGAATGATGCTGAAAACAAAACTGGTGGATCTTAAAAGCGTCAGAGCACATAAAGTAGCGACATTTCAAACTGAACCCATGCTGACACAGAAGTGCTGTGCAGCTGGGGCTTTCTGCTGACGGAAAAATGCAAATGCAATCGGGGGATTCAGATGAATGCAAAAAGACCTGCGGGACAGCTACTGTGTTATAGTGCCACTGAACTCCAAAACACAACTCTAAACACATTTGACCCCTCTCTCCTGAATATAAAACAGGGACAAACAACACTCCGCACCGCACATAGGACTGAATAAAATCAGCTACATATGAATGGGAGCGGGGGGTGGCAATCATCTTGCTTAAGCTAAAATCCTTGCATGGGATTAAGATAAACCATAGGCTTTGTCACATAATCTGTGTCAAATTACACAAGGAGACACATTCTAACATACGGAATAATTGAAGGCGGTTTGTTGTTTGGAAACAATGGACAGAAAACAAAACTGCAACAGCTGCAGTAGGTATTGTCAGTAAATGTAGATCTGTCTCTTTCGTGGATGTGGGATTGTACTGATACAATAAATAAATACAAAAGTAGAAGGATTACATTGGCGCCTAATGTTTGTGCTGGCCAACGACAATTCAGAGTAGATGAAGGGTCAGGACGTGGATCTGGCTCGCTCACTACAGCCTCAGCAGCTGGGTTTACTGGTCTGCTGGAGACAATATCAATCTGAGAACAGCTACGGCTGATTTAATCTACTGTATTGGAGGATTATCTGGCCCAAGATTACTATCGACCCCTCAACAATAAAGCAAACCTCAGTTTCCATAAATCAATACAGTTACTCAATATTATCAGCACTAGACCAAAACAAATAAAGCATCGGAACACATTATGTTTAATGGGAATATGTGGTTTGTCCAGACAGACGTCTTATGCGATCAGTGGATGGTAGATGAAAAAAGCGCAATAATCCACTGATCTCAGGGTTTATTCTGCAGATATTCAAAGCTACTGCTGTAACACTCACCCTCCAATGGAGTCTGGCAAGTATATCAGCTGGTTCTCATCCACTTTCAGTGCAGTCAGTTTCTTCAGTGAGCCTATAGTAAGAGGAAAAAAAGATGGAAAATTAGAGAGATGCAGCTTAGAGCAATTACTGATTATCACTTTCTGTTGCACTACAAAAGAGAAATATCCATTACAGCATTTAATTGGATTAATTCATACCGTCATCAATACAATTATCAGTTTAGCAGTAATCAAGCCTGACTCTAAGGCACTGTGCATCTGGACTCATCGGATTTAATTAGCCTGGTCTTAACTCATGGACAGTACTTAAAGAAAGTTATCACATTAAATCCTTAATTTAAATATTTTATATACAAGTTAATATGGATGAAAGTAGATTCTCAGTTTAGTCTGTTCACAGTTTGATGAATAGGCATTGGGAATGAGTAAATACAACTAAGATCACATTTGTGTTAAAGGCAAAAACTAAAAATGTCTCCACAGTATCTGAGAACAAAGACATATTGAGAAAAGGGCAGTTATGCGATATAACTATTTCTATGTTGTAAAACCATGTGTGGCATAATATTGCTAGTTGTTTGGTTAAAACTCAACATCTTCTGGCACTACTGAACTGTGGAAAACTGTGACTACTGTATATTGTAACAGTAATTACAGCTTCTGTGATGATTTATTATAGTATTATTTTTGAAAGTTGGTGCACTTTAAATATAATGAAAATGTATTTCAGCTATGCAGTCACATCATCTATGGGAATTAGATGCTTACAAAAACAACCTCATAATGGACCCAGAGATGAAAAATGCCTTGGCAATAGCTAAAAAGAGACTTTAGGTGTTTTCATAATGGATGTTATTCAAGTAAGACGTGTGTGTGTGTGTGTGCTGTAATCTTCACCGATGGAGCCTGGCAGCTGTGTGAGGGCATTGTTGGAGAGCAGAAGGTCCTGCAGACTCTCACAGCCGCAGATTTGCTCATCTACCATTTCCAGGTTGTTCTTGGACACATCCAGGTATACCAGCTGTTTCAGCATACCCATCATCTGGATACATAAAAAGGACACAGAAAAGACAGAATCTTCACTGATATCTCATTATCCTGTCTTAATTTATGCCAAGGATTAGGCAATGGTAGTGTTGATAACAGAATCAGTGGATTAAAACAATCCCCAAAACATCCTGAGCAGTGAAGTAAAGTAACTTAGGTAGGAGCATCCCAGACATGATATTATCACATAATTATTTCATTTTCAAAAACTGAAAATAGATATTTTACATAAAAAGGAAACAGTTGCTGTATTCAGTCTTGGTTTATATTCCTGACAACGTCATTGCTTACAAAAGGCCAGACTGTGATTACAGTTGATGTTGTTGAAATGCTGGCAGCAGAACTAATGCTTTAATTATGACCCAGTTACAAACAAGCTGGTCATTTGGATGAAAAATGAATCTCATACAACACATTCGGACTATCAAAACATCATTATAAATTAATTATGCTCAAGGAAAATAATAATAAAAAAACCCTGCAGCTGTGAAGGAATTATTACTGGGACATGTGCAAACCTGCATTTCCTCTTTCTATTTGTTCATCCTTCTTCTAAGTTCATTCAGCAAGAGAAACATTTCTAAACTGCAGATCCCTCTCTGCTGGTATTCAGAGGGCTGAAAGTCTGATGCAATCTGACTGCAGTTCATTTTGATGAAGATTGAAGTGGACACAGAGATTGAATATCAAGGGAAGTAATCTCAATAGGAGGTTTTGGGGCACTGCAGTCACTGAAAGTGTGTGTATAGGAATGAATTATACCCCAGGTAAGAACGACAGTCTGTTCCCATCAATCCACAGCTCCTTGATTCCACTCAGCTGCTCCAACACCTCAGGCTGTAGATGTAAAGAGGAGAAAGGAGGTTAAGTGATAGGGATGTGTGTGTATGAGTGTTTAAGGTGTGTGTGTGTGTGTGTGTCTCTGCTGGGCAGAGACAGGATGAAGAGCTTAACCTCACAAACAAGCTAAAAATGAATCATAAAGGTCATTTATTTATTCCACTGTGATTATCATGTATTAATGAATGCTATCTTTCAGAGAAAACAAATGAGCTCTTATCCTAAGTGCACTTAAAAAACAGCTTCCATTTCAAAACAAAGCAGAGGAGGAAAAGGAAAGGGAACAGATTTAAAATAAATAAATAAATAAAATAAAATAAAATAAAATAAAATAAAATAAAAAAGGGAAGGAGGAAGTGAGGTAACAACCAGAAAGGTAAGAAAGCCCTGGGCATCGACAGACCGACTGACAGATACTCACCACTTCAGTGAACTCATTACTCCCCAGGTCCAACCTCTCCAGCTGTGTGAGCTTCTGCATGCTTCTGTAGACACACAGGACAGACAGGGAGTGAGATCTTAAATTCAACGGGTAAATCAATTCACACGTACTACATTAGTTTTCACAAGTGGAGAATTTGAAAATAAACACTAAACTGACACCCTTTGTTTGGACAAAGGAAACAGCCAGGATTATAAGCAATGTTGGCCATGTGCTTTAAAAAGCAAAACATTTTCATGTTATATTTTGGATGGCATACATGCTCTGCCTTTGCTCCTTTCACTGAATAATTTTACAAGGAAATAAATACCTTTTAGAGCTCAGGCGTGACAGAAATATGCTTTAAATAATGGAAAATGTGACGTATGCTAGCCCTAAGCCTTGCTCCAGAATTTTCTCTCCACATTCAGGTCACAGTCTCACATTTTCTGCTACACTGTAAACAAGCAGATAAAAACCAGGACTATTCAACTGCTTACAGTCTTTACTATATTTAACTGATCACCAGTGACAGAAAAATTGGGGGTGAAATATTCTTAGAAAAAGGTTTTGTTTGACATTCAGAGCAGCAATAGTTAACAATCATTCCTCAAAATCTACTGACAAGATGCGTTTGAGGGCATTTACAACTCTGTGGCAGCAGCAAATAGTAGATCTCACAAAAAATACAAAACTCTTTTTTAAAACTGGCGTCACATCCTTGCATACAAAGTCTCCAAAAGATCTGCAAGAGTAAAACAAAATACATGGTTCACTTGTTGTTCTTTCCATTGTTTGAGTGTCCTTGATTGTAGGACATTACTCTGAACGATTCATAAAACACACCGGGGTCAAGTGTTTTAATTGTATAATTCGGGCAAGATAAAGAATTGTAACACACAAATCAACTTGCAAGTAAGATAAGGACTCCAAAACTGTTGTTTCAAATCAGAAATGCCCTGAGAGCGATTCACAAAACCAAAGCAAGAGACCATGACTGGAGATGAAATGGGTTCTGTGTGGGAAAAGATATGATGATCCTTTCCCAACAGGGATGAACTGTGTTTCCTTAAAACATCAGTACAGGAATGGAAAGCAGAGGCCCACCACCACTACTGCGGAGTCTGTTTTGTTTTTAGGTGCTCCTCATAAAATGAGAATGTAAGACATACAGCAGAAATTATAAATATGATTTAAGCCCTTTGGAGATTGTTTTTTAGTACTTGCTGCAATATGAAAACATTAATTATGCTGATGTGCTTTAGCAAGCTTTGGCACATTCTTACCTCAAAAGTTGGCAAGAAATCCGGCGACCCCCATGTGAGCTGAAAGGGGTCAGAATGAGCTGTGCTGGCTCATCTAGAAAGTGAGTTTACCAGTGAAAAACACACACTATGGCTTATGACCTCAAGTTGTGAGGAACACAGCATCCTTCTTTAAAATACCGAGACGCATTTGGTTCCTGCATGTGCTTGGTGTGTTTCTATGCACAGAGAGAAAAGGGCCTGCGCTTTCTATGTGGAAGCCCTGAAAAGGTTTCTGCTGCGCCCCTTTGTGCACGCACACATTTGTTTACATCTCTGAAATGCTTGTGTGTTTCTCTGGCAACGTTCCCGATCATTAGTCCTTTTCTTTGTCAAGGCTCTAGCCTTTACCAGGTCTGGCCTCTGTCACATAAACACAGTGAGAAGCGAGGATCCGTTCTGAGCTGCAGCACTGCACTTTATACACCGGCTGGCCCGTCAGTCATTGAGTGAAAAATAAGAAAAAGGAAAGTGAGTGAGATAACAAAGGAAACTCAGCCAGAGGGAGGAAGGACAAAAAAGGCAAACAGGGAAACGCAGCCTTGCTGAGAAAATGGGAAGGGTATAAAATGAAATGATACAGCAAGTGAAGCATGAAAGAAGACAGACAGAGTAAGTAACTTCCACCCAATCACCTGGAGCTTTCTCAAATACTCATGGGACGTTTAGTCTCCCAGCGGCACTGTAACCTTCTCCAATGGTGAAATAACGAGAGGGTTATAAAACCTGCCACAGCAAGCAGCCAAGCAAAGGGGGGGTTCTTATGCAACATCGAGGAATTTAATACTACAGTTAGAGTTGAGCGAAGTGAATGGTAAAAACAGAGACAGGATGGAGGACGCAGCAGAGACATTGCAGGGGTTGTGAGAGGTAGGAGACAACGAGGAAGTAAGGATAAAAACTCTTGACATGCTTCATGACACAACCTGGACTCACAGTGATGCTGCTCCTTTATTTTGTAATTCAAATGAACATTTTGTAGATTGGAGATTTGGAAAACATGTGAAGTAAAAAAGCACTTACTTTGGCAACATCTTTAACTGGTTCTCCCTCAGCTCTAAGATCTGTAGTTTAGTCAACCTGCAACCAAATAAAAAGCCAATGTTATCATTGATAAGTATGACAATGACAATATACCTTCATACTGTAGAAACCTTCCCAGTAGAGACACCTTCATCACATTTTACCTCACAGCAGTAATATGTGGAATGGGTTTTTGAACCATTGCAGTCATGATATCCTCTGCAGGCATTTTCTGCTACTAACCAGCTTCAATGTGCAGCTACATGACAAGAACTTTTGTGGTAATTTTATTTGCCAAATCAAAACATTATATTCCCGTATACTTGTATATAGTACTAAAGTAGGGTGACAATACAGAAAGCAGATGTAGTTTTAAGAGAGAAAGTGGGTTTTTAGGAGGAGAGGAGGCATTAGTGAGATGAAACAGGCCTATGTGGCTAACACATCATATGTTTTGTGTAATCGGAAGGTTCAACGCTAACTATTACCTATTGTGTAAACTACAAACCATATGTGTGTGACTGATCTTGCTGGTTTGATGAAACAGCCTGTTCAGACTTCACAAAGGAAACATCTTAAAAACAACAGATGGGAATTTGTGAAATCATTGTGAATCGGAATCTGAAATATTCTGAAATAAGTACAACAAAACAGTAATTTGACATGAGGCATACAACAGAGCTTTTTTGTGTCATTTCCTAGCTAAAAAGCCTGTTAAATCTGCAATGTGGCCCAATGGAAATGCCACAGCATTGACCTTTTACGTTGATATGGTGAATTTGTTGGCAAACAGTTGCTCATTTACACATGCAGCAGTTACAGAGCAACATCATCATTCATTTGGAGACATATTCCTAAACATCTGATGAATGTCAGTCCAATATTCACTTTCGTTTACCTCAGTTTTTGGTCTCTACCAGCTCCTGAAGGGAATATCTGCCTCTTTAGCGGTTAAACGTTACACTATGGTCACCAGTTAGTTTAGAACTGGATATGTCTGCAGTTTGGTGTTGAGCAGGTAGTGTACTGTGTTTTCTGTCACTTGAAACTGCTGCAGCTGACAATGACACTGAGAGCTGTGACAGTGAACCAAAACAGTAAAGTTGTGGGCTAGACAGCTTAATAATGAGCTGAAACTTGCTATAAAGCTTTGCAAAGCCAAGGAGAGCTGCAGATTCAGATCTTCTGTAGGTTAATCACATCGTTTCACATCGTTATAAAAATATCTATTATTACTGCTTTAAAGACTGGTGTTATGAAAAGAAGAAAATCTAATGCTGGTCAAATAAAATATGTACTTTAGCTGTGAAGTCATCCTATAATATACAATGAAAGCCTTAATAAAAATTTTAAAACTATAAATTGTAAGCAAGGGCTGAATGATATTGACAAATAGAAACTTACTATTTGTATCCAAAATGTCAGAATTGTCACTATAATGTGGATATTTTGTCAACATATCACCTTGCTCTACTGTAGATTATACATATTATACATACAAAAGTAAATCTTGCTTGTTTGCTTTGCATTTCTGAATGTGAATTTAGGAAGAAGGTTATGTTTTAAAATTGGAGCCATGATTTAAGTGGTTGCCTTTACAAATGTTTATCATGGAAGTGGTACCCTGAAGAAGTTCTTCTTGTCATTCTAACATTAGATTCAAAATCAGATCAACTTTATGGTACCACAGCCATGTCAGTGTTACGACCCAAACAACTACTGTGTGTGGCTTCAAACAAAACATACACTTAATGAGAAACAACTGTATCCTGATCCAAACTGGAGAACAACACTGACCTGCCAAAGCTGGCTGGTAAGAACTCGAGGAAGGCATCATTCAGGTAGAGCTGCGTCAGACTCAGAAGCTGGGTGAAGCCTTCGGGGAGCCTGAAAACACATGCGGGAATAAGAATCACTTACATAAAGCCTGACAAAGTTGAATCTGAAGTTGACAATTATAGAATACTTAAACCCAAAATGCATGTGCAGTATAAAGCCAGAATGGATTTAATTGAAAGTTGAAAAGCTAATATACAAGGGTGTACTCACTTGGATATGGGGTTCACACTGGCTTCTACAATAGCTAGGACTTTGCAATTTTTTATGTTTTCTGGAAACTCCTGGATACCTAGAGAGAAATGGCAAATGGCAGATAAAAAAGCCATTAGAGATTTTAAAAAAGTACAACAACTGCACACCATCAATTCAACATCTGTATGTTGTGTCTCCACCATTTTATTACCACTGACACAAAACAAATGACTCCCTTCAAAACCAAAAAGATGAAGGATAATGCAAGCCATCTTGCCTGTGTTTAGCAGGAGAAGCTTTGTGAATGTTAAACACAGGTAGATTGTGAGTACTCCGTGGATTGTGAGTACAAACAGGAAGGCTCTCTGCCTGAACTGTGTGTGCTCAAGATACATTTAGAGTGGCTATGCACCTTTCCTCTTTAAACAAGCACAGAGAAGAGTGCTCGCGGTGACATAATAAAAGAGCAGGAGGGGAAGAAAAAAAAAAATAAAATAAAAGACCACCGAGTGATAGTCTGCAAGTTCTCATGAAACATCCACAATGTGCGAACTGCAAGAAAGGGAACGTGACCAAGTCTGTAGGTTTATTTCCAACCACTTTGTTTTGTGTCCACAACACTTAGCTCAGGGTGCTTTGTGAAGAAGGATAAGCTACTTTTAATGTCAACACAGGACACGTAGCTCTGGTTCATGAAAACACCACCACATCCTTCAACATTTGTTTAATCTAGGCCGTCCTGTGCACTCATTAATTTATATTAGAACTACCTTTTTAACCTTTCTCTATCCATGAAAGGGTTTTGCTGAGTACGCACACTCCCTTTCTGTTCTGCTTAGCTTCAAGGTTATACAGTGATGATCAACCATCATATACCTGCAGTTTTGCCACTTTCTTTGAGCACTGAACTGAACATCTTCCACAAATTAAAGTAATGCTGATGACTTATTAGAAGCAAAACTCTTTGCATGCAACAGGATGTTATGAAAATACAGACATTTTTAAAATAGCACACCTGATTGATTTTATGTGCAGCTGGGCATTAGAACAGAACAGTCAAGCCTTCAGACGCTTTAATCTGCAGCTGTTTTTTGTTCTAAATGTCAGACTAGAACAACATTGACAGCGGAAAGTTTTCATCAAACAGGCAAAATTGAAAGGACTCCTAGTACAAAGCTGTCCATCATATTCAACAGTGTGAATGTTTATCTTCAAAGAGCTAAATGTCGCACTTTGATAAATGCTGTCGCTTCCCACTCTCTGAAACCGCTGACAAGACACTTTGAGTTGAGCACCTTGTACAGATATTCTCACAGTTTGTGTGACTCTAAGGTGCTTCATCTAGCTCTGTTTTGTCCCTGCTCCTACTCTGCGTTACATAATATCTAATATATTGCAGGTCTGAGCTTGTCCACTTCCTTTATCCATCACATCAGGGGTTTTAAGTCATGCAGTGCTGTGACATAATGAAATGTGGTAAATGAAACATGCAGTGGCATTATACCCCAGACTGTCTTTGAAGCAATTTCACACAGTTTCAATTATGCAACTCTTTCCTGGAAGTTTTATTTTTGTTTTTTTATTCTTTTACTGGTTGGTCAATAACAGTGACAGATGACAACACAAGGACAACTACATGTTACACATCTGAACACACGTCACACATCTGAACACACGTCACTGAACCCATGACTACAGTCACAGTTTTGCATGACTTATTTTACCTGCCAGGCAAATATACGGACACATTATAATGACATTTCTGAAGAACAGATGAAGCTTGCTTACTGTTTTTGCTGACATCAAGCTCCCTGAGATTGATGAGGTTTGCGATGGCTGCCGGCAACACTGATAGGTCATTATCTGGCATGCTCAGTCGATGGAGTAACTGGCAGTTAAACAGTTGCTGGTGGAGAAAGAGAGAGAAGAGATAATATAGTCCTTAATTAAGAAGTGTATGTTTGGCCATAGGGTTGCCCCCTAAAATGTTGTCAGTCGAAGCGATGCGCTTTTGTTTTTGAGCTGCCTCACTGTACACAGAGCAGGGTCACAGCTTGTAGACTGCAAACTTAAAATGACCTCAAACCACAAAACTAACTGTAATGCAAGCAGAGAGGAGTGATAGAAACCGAGCCAGGCACAACGATACTCTACTCCAATGAGGACTGTCACTTAAGTCAGTTAAAGCACTTTTGAACCAGATGTCGGTACAACCTTCTCTGGTGAGACATTACTAAATATTATGTCCTGATTGACTTCCAATCTCAACTGCATCATTCAAATGCTCTTCTCACAAAATGAACACGAGTTCACAAAGTAAGAATGAGTGTGCACAATGCTAGCTTTCCAATGGAGATAAACTAGTTAAGCACACAGCAAGGCAATACTTAGAACTACATTATGGTATTACTCAAGAGGACACTAACGTTTTATAAATTGTAATTGGGATACGTAGAGTAGAAATATAAAGTTTATATGCATCCGTGTGTGTGCCTTACTTTAGGCAGCTCCTCAATCTGGTTGGCATCGAGGTAGAGTTCCTGCAGGGTCTTCTCAAAGCTAAAGATCTCCTTAGGAACAGTCTCCAGGCTGCAGTGGGAGTAGTCCAGCGATGTTACCGCCTCCTCCTCACCCCGCAAGCAGCGGCACGGCACCAGACGAACAAAAAAGCTCCGCTTGGACATCCTCAGGCACTGGAGAGGGAAAACAGAGAGATATGTAAAAGGCAGAAGAGGATTAGGAGTTGAGGAGGTAAGCATTTGGTGCTTCTTATACACTGCTTTAAGTGTCAAATGTAACATGTATTTATCAGTGTGAAAATAAACACTAATTTAAAACATACACACACACACACACATTGATCTTGATATCTGATCTGTGCATCTGATCCATGACCATGTGACTGCAGTCTTAAATTGTGAGAACATCACTCATATGCTGTTCTGTGTTCTCCTTCCACAGGACAGATCACTGTCAGCAGACTGTGTCCAAAAACACAGGGGGAACAATGACTTAAGCTTTGATGAGGAAGAATGATGAGATCATAAACACCTCCAGCCAATCAAAACTACATGGGGATGTATTTTTCGAGTGATAACGAGCAAGAGCAGGCCATAATAGGGTGGAGCAGCAGTGTCAACAACGCCATCATAACAAAAAAGCCACAAGGAAGCAAAGAACTCAATTAAGCGACCATGTTGATGTCTTTTTATGCAGTGAACTTAATGTATTCTGTATTCTGTTTGATAACTGGGCAGTCACCCACTAGAGAGCAAAATGGTCCTGACGGAGAGATGTGTGATAAATGTCACCAAGAACAACAGTCAGACACAAATACTTAGAGATCTGATCAAAACAGCCACGACTTTGGGGTGAACACATTTGCAAAAACCTTCTTTAAAAAGAAAGTTTCAGAATTTTCAACCTGGTCTTTTTTTGTCTGACGATTATAGTAAATGGTAAATGGACTGCACTAAAATAGGGCCTTTGTAGGTTTAGCACCCTACATTTCCTGGAAAGCTGCGTGACACTTGTACGTCTTGCCCTGATCACAGCTTCTCACATCTCTAAATAAAGCAAACTGTAATAATAGACAAAAAATACGTCAATAACATCCAGGTTGAGTTTTTTGGCAAACTGCACTTAAAAATCAATATCCAGTTCAGAATCTCATCTAAAGGAAACAACAGTGAGCCATTCACAGAGTAAAAGCTTTCCAGCAGTATCAGTAGATGTACAACAGCTCTTCAGTGCAGAGGCTGCAGAAGGACCTTTCAAAACGGCCGTGGGTTGCTTCATGCACACTCAATTCTATTATTTCCTCCAAAGTATTGTGCTGTCAGTGTGTTTTCTAATTTGCATATAGATTACAGCTGATCACTGACAATGAGTTTCCATTTAGTGAATGAGTGTGAGTCCCAATTGATTAAAAAATAAAAACAGACATATGAATCCCTTTAAAAGGTTTCCCTTACCCGAGAGAATCCTGCAATAATTTGTTATTTTAATTTCCCCATTTCTCTGCTTTCTTGTAGGAAGTCTGCCACTTATTCTGGCCTTCAATAGGTAAGCAAAATGATGCTCAATGTTGTGGGTATGCAGTACACTCATTAGGGTTGAAGCGGAAGATAAAATTGCAAGATGTGAGCCATGAATCTGTCATGATTTTGGCAATGCTCGTCCTTAGCTAGTTTTATCCAAAACTCTCTCAACTCTCACAAAATAAAGAGACATAAAAGCCAGAAAATCTTTCAATCCGGTTGGGAGCTTAAGGGATGGAGGGGGGGAGGAGTTGCAAACCTGTCCTTTAACTTGCTACAGGGATGTATGTATTATGTTTATAGCTTGAGTCTCGGCTCAACACAGTCCTTTTCACCAAGTACAGTATGCAATATGGAATGTGTTTTGATCAAAAGAGGCTTTGTTCTTTGGAGCATGAGGAGAATGTGACTTTTCCTCCCCCTCGTCTTAATCTGAGCACAGCCACAGCACATAATCTCTGAGTCCTTCGCTCACTGCGTATTCTGTCTAACTGAGCAGTAAAATTATGATGGCCTTGACCTACTCTGACAGCGCAGACTATGTGTGGGTGTGAGCACATATTTGTGTTAGGAGGTTGTTGCAAGGAACTAAGCCAGCCATTATTTTCTTTGAAATTTGGTTAGCACTGTACAACCCATTGTCTTTGTTATCAGATGAGCACATTTTTGCATGTGTGCATGAAGATGCCTTTTCTAGACAGTGCAGTAGGTGTGACTATTTTTGGAGCCACTCAGAATATAGCCTGCCATGGAATTAGTCATGATAGGAAATAAATTATACCAAGCTCCCAAAAATATATACAATTAATACTTCTCGATATCATAATAATGAAGCAAGGTTACCTAGAGGAACTTTGAAATCTGTCAAAAGTTGACTCAAAGGAGGACCGGTCAGCCAACCCTCTGCCTCCAACTCATTGAAAATGGTTGCTTGTACGCACACGCCCACATTAACTTGAGGTATGCACAACCAAGACTGTCAGCCTCCCACATAGCCTTTGCTATAGCAGCAGGCAGCTCATGTATAAATACTCTCACTGAGTAATCTGGTCTATCACCAGAGGGGATGACAGAGGGCTTGGCTCCATTCACCCCGAGTAACAAGCACCGAGCGTATGGATGACGCATGCTATCCAGAGTGGGAGGCGTGGGAGGGCTGAAAGAAGAGGGTGTGATATGGGTTAACAGAGAAAGGGGGTAGTTGTGGCTTATTGTGAGTTATGCAAGAAAAGGCAATCAAGGAACCAAGAGCAGATAAGGTGTCATGAGAAAAATTGTGGAGAGAGATGCATATGGTTTGAAGTATAGAAAAGTAGCAAGAGCAAATCAAGGAAGCGGGGGGTGGATGAGCTGAACATGTTAAAGCTGGTAGAAGAATTTAATCTCACACTTTAAGGATGGGTTCTACATGACTCCATCTAATAATGTTTAATGACCAGAAAATCTGAATGTTGGCTATATGACAGAGCAAGATTAAGAGTCTGCAGCCAAGCTGGCGGGTCTATACTTAGGTACAGAGTAGCTTTGAGCTAAAAAAAAAAAAAGAAAAATCCTATACAAACTCAAAACATTGAAATTAT